TGACTGATTGAAGGTAAGACAGGTTTTTGCAAAGTGACTTTCTTTTATTCCTCTTCGCGAGAATAGAGAGACTTCAAAGAAATTCATGTTGGATGACTGCCAGCATATGTAAGGTCTGTCAGTTCTTTGTCAGGGGGGGTTCTGCTATTAGTAGCGAAACGTGCCAGGCAGTTTCTAGACAACGAGGCAGAGATGCTAGAATGGACAAAGTTTCCAACACCAAGTTGAAGACTTCATACAAGAAATGAATCCACTGCATTTTGCTTCCCCTTTCATTCATTTTTTTTTCTTTTTCTTTTTTTGGTGGGAAGTGTCAGCAAGAAACCGAATTTCTTGCAACTGCCAAGCAAAATGCTGACATAATAAAACAATATATCCTGGTTTCAGGTCAGGAAGAAAAATCATATATGAAGAGAAACAGGCAGAGTTTCTATTTTCTATGGCTTCTTGTTGTTGGTTTTTTGTTTTGTTTTCCTCTTCCTTTTTCGCCATTCCATATCTTAGTAATTCTTTCGCTTTGAAGAGGTTTGAAATGTTCCCAGTAACAAAATACTGACTGTAGACATGTTGAAGAATATATAGCAAAGTTTCTTAGAGGAAACCAGAGTGTTGGGGGGGGGAGTGGAAGGAAGGAGAGAGAGAGAGAGAGAGAGGAGAGAAGAGAGGGAAGGAGGGAGAGAGAGTGAAGGGGGGGAGAGAGCACGGAGGGAAGGGGACACACACACAGAGTGCACACACACACACACAAGCGGAGGACACACACACAGAGCACTGAGGACGGGACACACACGAGGGACACACACAGAGCGATGAGACACACACACACACACACACAGAGCGACGAGGACACACACACAGAGCACGGAGGACACACACAGACACACACACAGAGGGACACACACACACAGAGCACACAGGAGGACACACACACACAGACAGCGGACACACACACACACACAGAGCTACGGAGGGACACACACACACAGAGCGCACGGAGGACACACACACACAACAGAGCGCACGGAGGACACACACACAAACACACAGAGCGCAGACACACACACACACACACACACACAGAGAGCGCACGGAGGGACACACACACACACACACAGAGAGCAGGACAGGACACACACACACAGAGCGGAGGGACACACACACACAGAGCACGGAGGACACACACACAGAGCGGAGGGACACACACACACACACAGAGCGACAGGACACACACACACACAGAGCGCACGGAGGAGACACACACACACAGAGGAAACACACACACACACAAAACAAACACACACACACACACAAAGACACACACACACAGAGGAAACACACACACACAGAGGAAACACACACACACACAGAGCGATGAGGACACACAGAGCGCACGGAGGACACACACACACACACAGAGCGACGGAGGGACACACACACACACACACAGAGCGCACGGAGGAGACACACACACAGAGCGCCAGCACGGAGGACACACACACACACACACACACACGGAGGACACACACACACACAGAGCGCACACACACACACACACACACAGAGGAACACACACACACACACAGGAAACAACACACACACACAGAGGAAACACACACACACAGAGGAAACACACACACACACAGAGGAAACACACACACACACACAGAGCGCACGGAGGACACACAGAGCGCACGGAGGACACACACACACACACACAGAGAGCACGAGAGGACACACACACACACACACACACACACACACAGAGCACATGGAGGAGACACACACACACACGAGCATGGAGAGGACACACACACACACACACACACACAGAGCGCACGGAGGACACACACACACACACACAGACAGAGCACGGAGGACACACACACACACACAGAGCGCACGGAGGACACACACACACACACAGAGCGCACGGAGGACACACACACACACAGAGCGCACGGAGGAGACACACACACACAGAGCACACACACACACACACGGAGGGGGACATACACAGAGCACACGGAGGGGGGACACACACAGAGCACACGGAGGGGACACACACATACCGAGCACACGGAGGGGAGAGAGAGAGAGAGGGCGCAGGAGGACACACAGAGTGCGCACAGAGAACAGAGAAGAACAAAGAGAGAGGTGGGAGAAGAACAAAGAGAGAGGAGGGTGAAGAACAAAGAGAGAGGAGGGTGAAGAACAAAGAGAGAGGAGGGTGAAGAACAAAGAGAGAGGAGGGTGAAGAACAAAGAGAGAGGAGGGTGAAGAACAAAGAGAGAGGAGGGTGAAGAACAAAGAGAGAGGAGGGTGAAGAACAAAGAGAGAGGGTGAAGAGGGAGAACAAAGAGAAACTTGCTCATTAAATGATGCTTTCCAACTGTTAATTTTTGTTTTTGTTCTTGGGTCAATCCGGAAAAAGAAAGAACAAGACTGACCACTGCAAGCCAAACAATTCACTCTCCGCCCATAATTACCTCAGAAACGAACGCTGCACATGGCTGATCCCAGTGAATAAGCAGGTGCACCATCTCTAAATGCACACGCGTTAATTAATAATCAAGGCATAATGGAGAGGGGCGGGGGGGCGTTTGAATGGAGACGGAAGATGCATAAAAAAAGGACCAAGTAAAAAGGGAGGAGATTATAGCGGGAGGGAGAGAAAGTGAGACGTTTGGCCGAAGAGAGCAAAGTAGGCCATCTCCAGTCTCCTCGCCCGTCTTCATTATCCCAGATGGAAAGACAAGAATGTCGCTCCCCTAAGCCACTTGCCACTCCATGAACCCATAATAAGGTAAAAAAAAAAAAATAATAATATATAGAATCATAAGGTGCAAGCAGCCTAATTTCCAGTAGGGGTGGTAAAAGAGTTGGGGGGAGAGGGAAGAGGGGGGTCTTTTCAGTCCAAGAGAAATAACTCATACTAAGCACTATAAAGAAGACAAGGGCTAGGCTGGTGGTGGTGGGGGAAATGTCTCAACAAAGGAAAACTTGTCAGTAAGGCTAGAAACTTGAATACACAACAGGGGTAGGGAATAATGCACAAAAGTTAACAGCCCTACCCACCTAAACGCCCGACATGCACTAGGGCAGGGTGCCGGGAGGAGATGGACAGAAATCAAGTGTTTGCCTGGACATGAGAGAGTTGTAAACAAATATAAATATAAATATATATATATATATAAGAAACTAGAGTCATTAACCTGCACACGTCCACGTCTGAATTATGTTAAAATAACCCTGTCAATAACAAACGGACGAAACATATTGTAAATATTTTCCCCAGCCCTCTAAGACCGTCAGGAGTATTTTCCGAAACTTCTGAGTTTTCCAAGCATATGAGAGAGAGAGAGAGAGAGAGAGAGAGAGAGAGAGAGAGAGAGTGTGTGTGCGTATATATATATATATATATATATAACAACTAGACGTGGTGTAATGGTTAGAAAGATTTACTTTCTAGATCAGATACGACTGAGTAGTGAGTTTGATCCTAACTGGGTATCCCATACTTTCGGCCTTGTGCCACATCTAAGCGCAGCTTAGAAAATATATATATATATATATATATATATATAATACTTGGAAAATATATGCATACAAGCTTGGTTAAAAAGGTGCTGCGGTTAAGTTTATTCAATTTTTTTTTTTTATTTAATTTTTCTTGTGTTCGCATATTTTTTCCCCCCTTTTCTGGACATAATTTAGGAATTATCAGAGTTCAGTTAAACGTAAAAATGAAAATCATGAGGTCTTAAGGGACGAAACGTGTCACGCGAAAACGTTTTCCACTGTCTTACATCTTTGCCTCATAACTGTTCTTGATATCGTTATCCCATATACATGGGAAAACGATATATAGATTTTAAAAATATCACAATTACAACTGTAAACAATTTATCTAAGCTTAAAGTAAAATTTGTTACAATGACTTCTAAAGAAATAAAATAAAACAAAGGAGGAATTATTTACTCAATTACCCGTAATAATTGCTACAAAGAATGCATAGGAGAAACCTCGAGGATTTTAAATAAAAGATTATCACAAACAAATTTATGATGGCACGCAGTGGAATTAATATATTTTGTGGAAAAAAATTTCACCCCGAGCAAGGACATAAAACCACTAAGACGCAAAGGGTTATTGTGAGTGGAAGAATATAAGAAAGTCATTAATAAGAAAAGGACAATGGAAACATCAGGATTTAATTAGGCCATGTGGTGCCATAAATCCTTGTCATTTGTCTACAGACAGCTTTCCAAAGAACATCAGGATGCAGACAAAGAATTACCAAATTAGTTCTTGATAATGGTCGAAGGTACTTGAACAATAAAAATAACAAAATATGAACGTCGGACAGTTTATCCACAACTTCGAACACAATACTCCACACCTTATTTGAAAATCGGTAAAAAAAAACCCAAAAAAACCTTGCATTTGCCTTGATAAAGTCCCTCAGAGGACAAAACGCGTCAGCAAAGTTATGTTTTCCTTTTGTCATAGGAAAATAAAAAAAAAAAAACCTTAAAATTCCATATTCGGTAATAAATTTATTTCGATGAATATAGGTATATATTCATCTCATCAGACAGACTGCATTTTCTGGAATGGAGTCTATACAGATATACAAAGATAAGAAATGAGAAGGAATGGAAAGAAATGAGAAGGAATGGAAAGAAATGAGAAGGAATGGAAAGAAATGAGAAGAAAGAAAAAAAAAGAAAAAAAAGAAGGACCTGGGGGAGGGGGCTTACATTATGAAGAAAGAACAAGTTAATATAACGGGTAGGGAAAGGTTAAAGAGATAGGATGGTCAAATTTAGCGGTTACAAAGTGTCAAAGTTTAGGCAGTTAAAGTGGTGTCTGTATAGACATCACAAATACTTTGTTAAAAGCACGTCGGATCTAACGACGATTTCTCTTGCAAATAGCAGCGCAGGTTCGAATCCTGCCGAAGGGCGCATCTTTTTTTCATCAAGATTTATCTTAATGTTCAGCGCTGAAACACCGGTTCCCGTAATATCATCGAAGTTAAGCAACGTCGAGCCTGGTTAGTACTTCGATGGGTGACCGCTTGGGAGCAGCAGATGCTGTAAGTTTAAATGCGCAGGTAGTGTAATCGATAATGGCAAGGAATTGTTAATCTGCGAATCGAGTACCAATTCCATTTGGGTTCGTTATGTTCTTTTATGCACAAATACCCTTGTGGGAAATCATGAATCCACATATTCTCCCGCAGCTATGGGTTAATTAGTATCACAAAATCATTATCTCGCGAAAAGTTCTTACAATTTAAAAATTATTATTTTCTTTCGGTCTACACATATTTCGTTTTAGTGTTTGCCTATGTATGGGAAAATCTTGTGCCCTGAAGATGACAATTTGAAATTGTCGAAGTACTTGGCAACTTCCGCCTGACAACTCGAATATAAGGATCTTATTATTAATTGATAGTAAGTTAACGTCTCATTAAGTCTTGTTAGCGAAGTGATTTCGCTATTAATCACATTAACATTGCTCTTTAATTCTTTGTATAAATTGTTTCTTTATGATATAAAATATAAGCTGCACTCTAATATATATATATATATATATATATATATATATATATATATATATATATATTTAGGCAGCAATCCTTCTTAAGATATTGTGACTCACTGCACACCTTTCTGACCATAGCTCAATTAGATCTCATTTAAATATTCATGGAAACCTACCGGACAATATTCGTAACATACTTGTTGACAACAGAAATATAATAGCATCATCTTCATGCAAAAATGGATAAAAATAATGAAAGCCTTATTAATAAAAAAAAAAAAAAAAAAAAACTTATGAACATGGACACAATACCTTGACCGTGTTTTGAAAAATAAAAACATTTTATAAAACATACATACAACAAACTATTTCTAATTTAATCTTTGAAAATGGCTAAATGTATAGCGCTCGGATAAAAAGTACATTTGGACAGTTTCTATATAATCTGGAAAGAAAAAAATTATTAGATCGCATGAGAAATTGTATAAAAAAATAATTCAAAGCACCTTGTCTGTCGTATTCAATGAAATATGTGTGTGTGTAATATATCGTTTTCACATCAGATGCTATCGGAGACCAGTGAGACAAATTTCAAGAACGACACCCATCTCTTTCTAAAGAGCATTAGCGCAAAAATGAAAGTAATGGGTTCAAATTTAATTTGAACACTGCCCGCAGATTACGTTTGTTACACCGTCCACACATCCAAGCGAATATTAATGAGTTAAATTGCATGATATACTGGAATTTCTAGCCTTAGATGGATATATTCCAATAAAAGGAAAGTTCAATCCTAAAACAGTGTAGAAGGCAACAAGTAACTTACTCCACTATCAAGTATGTTAATTCACCGATAAAAAAAAGGAACCTGTGGAGAGTCATGATCGTCTACTTCCTGAAGAGATAGAGTAAAATAAATCAATGCAGGGAAATAACTACTTAATTCTATAAAGATATATAGGTCAAAGTTCTGACAACAGACACCAATTTATACAGTAAGTTGTAGAGTTACGATAGTCCCGATCTACGGCGATTTCTGGTTACAACGCAATCTACATTAATCTTGTTTCGACTTGCGCCGTTTGCCTCGTACATACGAGGCAAACGTTCACCGTATTGGATTGTTGATGAGAGAGTGCTTATTCACGGAAAATCGATGGTACGTTCAAAGCGGAACTATGCTGGATGTCGACGAAATGTCTTAGAAACAATATTCGTATCAATCCGTTAAAATCGATAGTACGCTCATATCGTAAAACCTAAATTAAAAACGGAACCTCCAAATTCTCGAAGCAGAAGAAAGGATAAATGATAGAAAAAAATTCCTAAAATATAATATAAACAACAATTTTATTGTCAAAATCTTTGTGTTAGTAAAAAGAAAGATTAAAGAATTTTTCATGTAAAAATTAACTTGCTTTTTCTGGCGTCAAAACAGAAGAATTTGAGCGTCTTTTTGTGGTGAGATTTGATTTCGAAATTCTTGCAAAAATCAGATAATTGTTGGATTTTAATGTAACTCTCAGGACTTATTACAATTGAATGAAATGATCTTCTAAACGTTTTTCCTTTTTTTTTACAAAATCTTATTTAATTCTTTTTTGTATCATTTAATGTTTATATTTGTTATAAAAAACAAGTCCTCAGAGAATTAAAATCATTAAAACCAATATTTAATTAGAAAAATCTTTAATTGTTTTTATGTTTAAAATATATTATGGACACTATTGCCTTAATAAAAAATATTTCGATCAATAATATAATTTTTCAATAATTATTTTTACAAGAATTTTCCTTTTTTTTTTTTTTTTTTAAATAAAAAAAAAATTAATTATAATAATTTATAAACTTTTAAAATTTGGTATTAATTTGTAGCGGTCAAATTAGATAAAAACTGTATTTACTAATCGTATATGAAAAGTTTATAATTCAATGATGCCCTAGTATTTAAACAAGAATTTTGAAAGCGGGGGTGGGGGTGGGGTTTAGAAACGTGACAATTTTTGTAAATACGGAGAAGTTTTTTTTTTTTGGGGGGAACTCTGTACGAAACGAATTGGTGAAAGGAAAAACGTTTTCTTCCAGGAGTCATGACACCTCGTATTTGCTGTTAGAATTTGGGTAGATGCAATTTTTAAAATACCAGGATACATTCTCTTCAGACCTCAGAGTATCTTTTCGAGGGCTGGGGTTGGCGTTCTTCCTCTAACCCCTGACCAGCCAAGGATCATTTAAAGAAGGGAGGGGAAGAAGGAGTTAGTGTGAAAAGAATGATATTAAATTCGCTATATTTCATAATAATAATAATAATAAAAACAAAAACAAAAAAAAAGTCTTCATACTAACTGTAGGCAAGGCTAAAAAAGTTTGCTGTAAGAAAAAAAAAAAGAGTCGGAGGTGGGGATGGGGAGAGAGAGGAAAACTTTAATGATAATGACAGGGACATGTCGGGATAGGGATGATGTGGGGGTCGTCTGGGGAGGGGGAATAGCGGATGAAGATGGAGCCACAAAAATATTTCCTTAAAGACTCGCCTCTCTCTCTCCTCTCGAGTTGATGGATCATGATTGATTACAAGACCCTGGAATCAAGTCTGAGAAAAATGGTGGGTGGATGACGTTGGGTGGGGGTGTGGGCGGTGGAGAGGCGGCTTCTGGGTTTTCAGAGGAAAGAGAAGTAAAGTAATATAATCAATTCTTTAATTCAAAAGGAAAGAGATCTATCATTTCTGCACAGGGCAAAGAGAGAGAGAGGAAAAATGTTATTAACTTGTTTGTTGTTACTGGGTCTCCACGCTCTCTACCCCCACCGCCGATCTCCAATTTTGGAGTTTTAGGTATTTATATAGACATATATTTTGACTTTTTTGTAAGTGAATATGTACACACAATATATATATATATATATATATATATATATATATATATATATATATATATATATATATATAAACCTAAAACTCCCTTAAAACTGCAACTATTGCCTCCACGTCAGTGTGTAGAGCTGTATGTTTTTGCATGTGAAGGTTGAGATATATATATCAACCTTTTTACATGCAAACGCATACAGATCTACACGCTGACATCCGTCATTAATGGCGTGGGAGCAGTAGTTGCTTTTAAGAGAGTTTGTGTTATATATATATATATATGTGTGTGTGTGTGTGTGTGTGTGTGTGTGTGTGTGTGTGTGTGTGTGTGTTGGATGAGAGTCTTAAATTCCCTCTCCCTCCACACTAACTAATCCCGTCCCTGGTTTCATGGTCTGTATTTAGTTTTGATGATCGCTTCATTGATAACTTAGTTGAAAACCCGGTAAATTAAGATATGAAAGCTTTTTTCTCTTTTTGTGGGGGGAGGGAGATGCAAAAAAAAAAAAAAACTAATAAAAACCATAAAACATACATTACAAATGCAGAGCGGGAAAAAAACCGGCAGTTTATTCAAATGCAGCCGAGATGATGTTTAAAGAAAAAAAATCGAACTTGTAGAATTCTCAAACGTTTTCACACATTGGACGATGCAAGTTGGCATCAAATTATTCACAGGTTAAAAAAGAAAAAAAAAAGAAGAAAAAAAAAAAAAAAGAACGAAAGTTATATGCCAGTGTTTTTTGTTTTTAATTAAATGTTCGCCCCGTGTGTGTACGTATCTACATACGGGCTTAAACTGCAAAATAAAATTTAATGAAAGAAAAAAAATCTCAGCATTTAACCTTTGAACACACACACAAATGTGTACAGATATATACACTTTATGTATGAGTTTACACATATACACACAAGTATCGTCATTTTTATCCACTGGCCATTGTCTTGAATTAAGAATGATAACAAGTCTTCATAATTGTGACCATCAAGAAAAGCAAGCCTAGATGAGCTGGCTACGTCTCTCGTCTCAGAGATAACAGGTGAATGATTCGACAGAGTTGACGCTAAGGCAGTGGAGAATGAATAGAGGGAAGCCAAAGGCAAGATGGCGCGATGATTTTGACCCAACACCTCAGCCACACATGGTCAGAGACAGGATGTAGTGTAGGTCAACTAGGGAGGGGAGGAGTGAAAAAGGCCCTGAATGTGGAATATCAACAAAAGTGACGATATTTTTCTGAATGTAAATAATCGCCATTTGCATTGGTAAATAAATGGAAATTTTGTAAACGATACAAACTCAATGAAAATTACGTCTGTCATTTAAGTAGGTATTTGCTCACTGTTCCAATCTCACAAAACCTCAACTGACAGGGCAGTCCCAACAAAATAACCAAATTTCGAATGTACAAACTTACGGGAAAATTATTGTTTCTCTTATTTTTCTCTTTTGTAGTTAATTTTATTTCAATTACACTTTGAAAAGTTAGCCCCCCTCCCCAATAAATTTATCTAAATTTGAAGAGACAACACACATTTACTAAACCATATGCGGACACAATGAAGAAAAACTAACCGAAATTTGTAAGGAATGCATGACAGGCAATTTTCTTTTAAACACAGAGTCTACTCAAATACGGGCACCCACTAAAAATAACGTTTGAAGTTATATATAATAGAGAA